TTAGAATACTTGTATAAATACCATCCTTTGTACAATGGAATGAGTGCACCAAGAAATACAAATCCCTTTTCCTTTATTACAAACATTGCATAGGTTGAGTCTGACAAATTTGATTGAAAAATTTAGACAGTGTTGAGAGTTAATTAACGAAAAATGAAGGATCAATTCATTAAAATTACCAAAGGGCATGCCAAGAACAGACTTCAAAGCTATTTAATTACACATGGTAGGCCTAAAGACTGCAATAAAAGTCGCTCAAGTGACCCAAAATGAAAAATGTTATGGAGAATTGATAAAAAACACGACATTTTCAAAAGATGTCTACAGCCAATTTCACCTGAACTCATAATTCCTACAAATATTTATTCATTTTATAATTGAGTATCTGTAAATTAGCTAACTTTGTTATTGAATAATTACTTTCTATGCTTTATTATTTAATTCTATTTGTAATATTTAATCATATTTTTCAATTTTCTTTGACTTCTAACAATTTAGCAAATATTAAAGAGTTTTGATAATTCTCTCTTGACGTAATCAAAATAGTTTCGACAAAGCATGTGACAAACTCAATATCCATGAAAGTTCTAATGAATCTCTTCATCAAAGCAGCACAATCTCTCATATCCATCGTAATTTGATCACATGAAGAGCTACAAAATGAAAGAATTATTTAAATAGAAATCAAATTTTGTTTTGCAATCCACAAATAATCCAAAAAAAAAATAAAAAAATAAAAACTTGCTGATGAGATTGAACAAAAAATGAAAATTTGGATTTAAAACGTTGGGCCATAACACAGTAATGACAGGCAAACTCACCGTCCCAATTTGAACAACTTTTGTCCTACCCGCAGCACTAAACACAACCCGCTTTGCTTAAGAATCCATAATTCCCTCTCTATAAATATCAAGTTTCTTCTCTCAATTCCTGCAACTCTCTTCAACATTCCATTTCATTACTTCCATCTTCTTCTCTTCCACTGCTCAATATTGAGAGCCATGGTTGGGAACTT